CTGATCAAACCCTTCTGCAGACCAGAGAACAGAGTGGGTGTCCAGCGTCTCCTGCGGGTGAGAGAGCATAGGGAAGGGAGCAGGAGGTGGTGAGCCCCGCGGCAGATGGGGCTTCTGACGTGGCGGGCGCGACAGTGGGACAGGCGAGCGCCTTCCTTCCTGCTGTGCCCTCTCCAGCGTGGCGGCACTAGGGCCCACGGTTAGGGTGTTCCTCACTTCCCACACATCTGCCTTTCCACACATTTCCCCTCCCCGTAAAAGCCTAGGAATGGGCTGGCGAGACAGTATGGCAGGTCTACACTGACCTTGCTCATGGCTGACCCGGGTTTGATCCCCAGAACCACCTGTGGTCCCCCAGTACTGTCAGGATGATCCCTGAGCAGAGCCAGACACAGCCCTGAAACAAAAACCAAAGCAGAACAAAATCAAGAAGGCAAGGCGGGGGCGGGGGGGGGGGGGGGCAAAGACGTAACACAGGAGCTAAGGTGCTTGCCTTGCATGCTGCAGGCCTGGGTTCGATCCCCAGCACTGTTGAGCCCTGGTCAGGCCCTTCTCAGCTTTCACGGGAATGCAGGCTCTGCCCGCCCCAGGCCCGGCCCAGTCCTGCAGTCCCTGAGCCCCGGTGCCCAGGAGGAAGACGAGGCTCAGAGAGGGGGAGAGCTTGCTCCAGGTCACAGAGCATGCAGGGCGCAGAGCAGGAATCCACATGGAGACAGGCTGGCTCCGGAGCCACTGCCACGCTCTGAGCGCTCATTCGGTGTGATTTATTTATGAAGGGGCGGCCAGCCTGAGGGACTGTGGCTGCAGCATGGGGTCGGGCAGCCCACACGGGACCCGCTCCAGCGGGAGGCCAGAACCTGCCTTCTGGCTGGCACCATCTCCTGCCACAGCCAGCCTGGGGACTCTGCTGGCCTTCACTGGCTGGCAGCTGTGGTGGGCAATGCGGAGCCAACCCAAGGATGTCTCTTTTGTTTCAGCTTTGATGCTGGGGATCTCACCTTATGGTCGTGGCTCAGGACCCGCGAGTATCTGCCCGGGTTCTGGCCCTCCGTGAACCGCCTGGAGGATCTGGCTCCTGGTCTGCAGCCATTTGGGGGACATGTTGCCCCCTGGGGTGGGGGCACTGCTTCCTTTCCATTTTTTAATAGATTATACATGTTTTTTTCTGATTTGGGGGCCATACCAGGCAGTGCTCAGAGCTTGGCTTTGTGCTCAGGGCTCATTCCTGGTGGGGTTCAGAGGACCATCGGGGGTGCCAGGGATTGAACCAGGGCAGCCATGTGAAAGGCAAGCACCCTCCCCACTTGTACTATCACTCCTGCCCCTTTTTCCTTTTTTTTGCTTTTTAGGTGACACCCGGTGATGCACAGGGGTTACTCCTGGCTCTGCACTCAGGAATTACTCCTGGCGGTGCTCAGTGGGACCATATGGGATGCTGGGAATCGAACCCGGGTCGACCCTGTGCAAGGCAGACGCCCTACCCGCTGTGCTATTGCTCCAGCCCCTTTCCCATTGTTTGTTTTTAATCCTCATCTTGGTGCATGGGTTTTTGAGAATCCCAGAATCTACCAGCAAGCAGGAAGCTACTTATGTTTCTTTATATCTGCAAGTGTGTGTGTGTGTGTGTGTAAAGAGTATGACAAGAACATGAAAAACAGCTTTTCACGAAAATATTTATTATTTTAATACATTAGTCCCCCAACCCAAGGCTGAGGGTTTGCTGAAAGGTCTGAATTTCTTGACTTACCATCTTTCATTAAGGACCACCCATAATGATATTACTGCCCTCGATAACTCTGTTTAGGGGGTAAACACTTAACTGCTTAATTCATTATTGCTGAGCCGGAGACGGTAACAGATGCCTTCGAAATGTGAGTCCCCACATCTCATAAGGCACCAGCTCACAACGCACTTGGAGCATGGTGGGGAGAGACGGCTGAAATTTATTTTGTGAATAAAGCAATAAGCCACTAAGCAAAGCTAATATGTTTCAGCCAAGACAGAAAGACACGATCATTCAGTATTTATGTAGCAGCCCGTTCCTCAGTGGGACTGCAAGTTTCTACCATTAAAATTGTCGGAATTCTTCAGAGACCTACTGCATTAAGTCATTTAAAAATATCACAGACTTAAAACAATCTGAATTATTGGATTTTCTCACTGCTCCTCGGTAAGCATGTTTGCTGTGGCAATTTCCGGCTTGGCCAAAGGTGCAGAGTGTGTGTGTGTGTGTGTGTGTGTGTGTGTGTGTGCGTGTGTGTGTGTGGCAGTTAGAAAAGTAGAAAAGTTTCATGGAGGATTTTCATTCAGAAGCAAAGTCAGGCATTCATTTACTATTTTCTTTTAACTTTTTCTCTTGACATTCTTTCAGATTCCCAGAAATGTTGCGAGCAAAGTACAAAAAATGTCTGTGAACCCTCCAATGTCAGCCCCTGCAGCACTCGCTCGACCGTTCTAAGTAGATTGGTAGAGATAAGTGAACAGACACAAACTCCTTTGGCCAGAACCTTCGAGAGTGAGTTGCAGACATGATGTCTGTTCCTTTCCTCCCCATACTCCACTGCACTCTCTAAAAACAAGGCTATTGTATTACACAGCTGCAGCACAGCGATGAAAACCAGGAAATTAACATTGATAAAGTACTATTATCTAATCTATTGACTTTATTCTAAATGTACTATTGGCTCCAATTAATGCACTTGATAGTCAAAGAAAGTCCCGGATCACGATTCGCTTTAATCCCTTGTCAAATCTCCGTCGCTTCCCTTGAATCTGGAATCGTTCCTCGGTCTTTCTGTGTGTTTCATGTGACAGTGACATTTCTAAAGGGAACAGGCTGTTTCTGTGGTAGAATTTCCCCTCCGCTTGGGTTCGGCTGCAACGTCTTTGCAATTCGATTGAGACTCTGCACCTTTGGCAGGAAAACCACAGAAGTGATGTCGAGTTCTCTCCGCGGACATCGGGCACTACATGATGTCAACTGATCTGGGACTGCGAAGTCAGACAGACATTTAGAATGATCTTTTATCCGAACCTTGGCTTGTTAAAAATTTGCTAGGAAGGTTTCACACTTGCTCCCTGCTTTCTATTACAGGTCTTTTTTTTTGTTTTGTTTTAAATCTGACTCAAAGGCAAGGAAGTTGGGAGCTTTACAGATGCTCAAGAGAAAATGTGGCCGTTTAAAAAAAATTGCAATGCGATAGTTATGAAATTTCCCTAAATTCATTTTGCAGAATGAGAGCTGTAATTTAAATGTGAAGTTATTGAGAGCTGAGAGAAACCACACATCACGTGCAATTTAATCTGGCAAGGAAACAGCACTCAGAATTGCTAACTAGGCCTAATTCATTACGTCCTGGTGAACGCCGTACTTTTGGTCCTGTGTCTTTCAACTTGTGCATTAATATATTTACACAGGCCTCATGGAAAATGTATGGGGATCGCAATAGAAATACTGTATCCTTGTTTAAATCACATTACATTTTTTAAAAAACCAGCTGTGTGATTGCTCGGAAAGATCACACCTTCCTCCAAAGCATTTGTGAAACAATTATTTACATTACATTAAAAACTTTAATTGCCTTGAAGCACGTGCTCCAAGACACAGATATTGGAAAATCATCAAAAATATCCATCAAGATTCTCTCCCCTTTACAACTCTTCCAAACTTTATCTTTTTTATAACCCTCTGTATTGATCTATTGTCCCAGACCAAGAGTGATGTCAGAAGTCCAAGCTGGGTCATAAAAAGAGAATATAATTTCCATTTGCTGTCTATAAAAGCAAATCTTTTGACCAGAGAAAAACGCCCTGGGTGGGGGGGGGGGTAGGAGAAATGAAGAGGTTAGATTTGGGGAGGGACCTGCCGGAGAGGTAGGGGCACCCCACAGGTCAGGCGGGAATGTGGAGGGTGGGCTGGTTGGTGCAGGGGCGGTCTGAGTTTCTCCTGGGGTGGGGTGGGGGGTGTGAGGTGTTGGAAGAGGATTGGGGGCCCGGCGCCCCGACACAGTGAGCAGCAAAATAATAGAGAGAAGACTGCAGAATCGTGCAAAAACCCTGGTCAGCCGTGTCGATCCCGGGACGTGAACCCCTCAGCCCCTGACCCCCAAGGCGGTCCGCCCTCCAGGAGCCCACGCTGGAAGGGGCCCGGGGTCCCGTCCTCGGCTAAGGACCAGCCGGATAATCACGATGATGGACAGCAGGGACTTCCTTGGCTGGGAAGGACCTGGAGGTTCCCCACAGCAGGGCGAGAGCTGCCCGTTCTTTAAAGATCAACAAAAGTCAGCTCCCGGGGCGCGGGGGCGGGGGGTGCTCCAGAGAGGCCCCCGCAGTCGTGACGGCCGGGGGAAGTTGCGGGGGGCCTTAACCTGGAGTCGGCCCCGCGCCCCCAGGGAGAGGCGTCGCGGGGTGCTGCGGGGCCCTTCCCGGGCCGCGGCGTCCACGCGGCGGGTGCGGGCCGCGGCCGGCGGAGGCGCGGCGACGGCGCAAGGCACGTGCCGGGGGGGCGCGGGCGGAAAGAGCCCCCCGCCCCAGGTCCGCGGCGGCGGCGGCGGCGGCGGCGGACAGGTGCGGGCGGGGGCGGGCGCGCGCGGCGCCGGCGCGCCCCCGCCCCGAAGTTCCCCGCGCATCGACCCGCGCGTTACGTCAGTATCGATAAGTTTGCAAAAGCCAAAGTCAAGTGCGGCCGCGCGCACACGGCCCGGACCCGGGGAGATGCGGCGGGCGCTCCGCGGGCCCGGGAGCCGGCGGCAGGCAGGGCAGCGGCGGCGCGGGCGCCTCCCGGCGAGGCGGCCTCCCCCCGGCCCTCCCCGCCCACCCCGGCCCCGGCCGCCTCCCCCGGGCGCTCCCCGCGCGGCGCGCTCCGCCCGCGCCCTCCGGGGGTCGGGGGGGCGCGCGGCTGCCGGGCCCGGCGGCGGCGGCGGCGGCGGCGCGGCGCGGCGGCGCCGAGGGGCGGCGGGGGCCGGGGGCGGCGGGCGCGCGGGGGGCGCGGGCGGCGGCGGCGGCGGCGGGCCCGGGGGGAGCCCAGCCCCGGGGCCGCGCGCGGCCATTGAGCGGAGCCAAACTCCGGTGTGCGCGTCCGCTCGCCCCCAAGATGGCCGCCAATGTGGGATCGATGTTTCAATATTGGAAGCGGTTTGATCTGCGGCGACTCCAGGTCAGCGCGGGCGCGGGCGGGCGGGCGGCGGGCGGCGGGCGCGGGCGGGCGCGGGCGCGGGGCGCGGGGCGCGGGGCTCGCGGGGCTCGCGGGGCCGGCCGCCCGCTGCCCATCGATGGGTATCAGGAATCGATCGCGCCGCTGCTCTTTGTTCGGTTCGATCATCGATCGGCCGCCGCGGCGCGCCGGGGAGCGCGCGGGCCGGCGGGCGGGCGGGCCGCGGGCGCGCGCGGGGGCCCGCGGGGGCGGCCGTCCCGGGCCGGGGGCTGCGGCGGGACCCCCGGCCGCCCCCCGCGCGCCGCACTTTGCGCGCCTCCCAACTTCGCGGCGGGCGCCGCGTGCCGGTCCGCGCCCCGCGCGGGCTGGGCGGGAGGAGGAGGAGGAGGAGGAGGAGGAGGGCCGGGGAGGAGGAGGAGGACCGAGCACCGGGAGGACGGCCAGGCGGCGGCTCCGCGCCCCGCGCCGCCGCGCAGCCCCGACCCGCCGCCGCCAGCACCGGACCGGCCTCCGGAGCCGGCAGCGCTGCCCTCGGCCGGGCTCCCGGGGTTCGTTCTCGCGTCCCGCCTCCCTCCCGCGCCCTCCCCGTCCTCCCCGTCCTCCCCCCCTCCCCGAGCGCCCACCGGGCGGGCGCTGCGGAGGGGCCCGGGGCGCGCGGAAGTTTGCGCGGGGAGAGCCCGGGGCGCGCGGAGCAGGTGGCTCGCGCCGGCCCCGGGGAACTTTTCTCGGGCGCTCGCCCCGCCGCCTCCGCGCCCCCCGCCCCGCCCTCCGCGCCCCCTCCTCCGGCTGCACTTTCCCCCGGCGCCGCCGGGCCCGGGAGCCGGTGTGTGCCCCCCGCCCCTCCGTCCCAGGCTCCGGGAGAGCCCCCCGCAGCCCCCTCCTGGAGGCGGGCCCGGGGCTGGGGTCCCGCAGGGCTCACCCGGGCGCGGCTCTGGGCTCCGTCGGTTCCCGGGGAGCCCCGCACCCGCCAACGCCCCCCCCCTTTGCATTTTGCCAAGTCTCGGGGGCAGCCGGCGCGGTGGGAACGAACGAGAACGAGGGGCGGGGAAATGATGCAGATAACGGGGCAATTAGAGCATCCCGCCTCGGCCCTGACACTCGCCGGAGCATCCAGCATCCGTCTGGAGATCAAAAAGGGACCCGCTTTTTATTTGTTGGTTTTAAATCTACCTGCAAAGCTCATTAAGTTTCTTCCCATAAGTGGTTCCAGCATCCCCCCCCCACTCCCCAATCCCCGTCCCTGGCCTCTTCCCAGCCCCCATCCCGCCGAGCCCCCGTCTCCCCCCTCCTCTCCTCCTCCCCCAGAGCCATTGAGCTGGAGAGAAAAATCGGGGCACTCAGGCATGCAGTTAATAACCCGAGTGCCTTGCAATTCCATCCGCACTGGAGTTGGGGCCAGTTTGGTGGCCAGCTGAGGCGGGCAGAGCTGTGTGAGCTGTGCTCGCTGGTTTAAATGATACTAAAGTGGTCTTTCTGGAAGAGTGGGGGCTCTGTGTGTGTGTGTGTGTGTGTGTGTGTGTGTGTGTGTGTGTGTGTGTGTGACAGAGAGGGGGAGAGAGAGAGTTGGGCAGCTACACTGGGCTTGGCACGAAGGCCAGTGGTAATCGTATTCCCTGCTAATGTTTGTAAATGAGACCCGGGCACGGCTGGGGGACAGCGTCTTTATTTATGATTGATGTTCTGTAACATAAGGAATGACAAGAACGTGGCAGACAAGAGGAGAGGAACCAGAAGGGCTGGCAAAAGCCCTTTGCAGCGTCCTATTGTTATTCTGGGCTGGAGAAAATTTCCACGGCGAGATTTACAGCGCTGGTATTTGCTCCCGCTTGGCCGGAATGTCAGTTAACACAATTTTCATTAGATAACTCGTTTTCAATCCTGAGCGGCAGGCTGCCCGGGATAAGCCGGGGGCTGGTTCCTGAGGGGTGGGTGCGGCTTCCCTTGGGGGGGCTGATTTCCTGAGCTGGGGGGGGGGGAGTTTGTACCTTCCTCTATTCCTTTTCCTCCTGGGGGTCTTTGTGAAGCCGGCTGTCTAGGTCACCCAAATCTGGATTCTAGCTGGACTCCACATTGATCCCAGGACCCTTTGTTAGGGTTCGTGGAAGGCACTGGGGTGGCAGCGTGCATCCGAGCAGGAACAGATGGAGGTGGGGGTAGAGGGTCCCCGGAAAAGGGGCCGAGACCTCTCGTGACGGGTGTGGAGGGTGAGGGGGGAGGTGTTCATTAAGACAATGGCTGGTGAGTCTAGCACAAAAGGAACTGGCTCTCTGGAAAGGGGGCGAAGCTCATTTACATGGATATTAAGTGTGTGTGGGGGGGTGTCCCCGTGGGAATTTTGAGAGGCCGAACACTTCCAGAGAAAGAGAAATAAATGTGGCATCCCGGCCCATGTGCAGGCGTTTAGGACCTCAGGTCTGCCGGGGCGGGGGGGTCCCCACCCGCACCGGGAAACGTACCCTTGCTCCCCTGCCCAGCCGGACCCCCACATCCTTCCTGATGGCTTCGTTTGCTGGAGCCGGATTATACGTGAGCCTGGCCCCGAGCACTCTGCCTGGGCATTTGCATTGTGTGTGGAATGCCTGGAGCTCCAGGCCGTGGGTTTATTTTCCGTGACCCCCCTTACGGGCGAGGTAACCAGAGAGGTGAACTCAGGTGGGCCTGCGCCGAGTCTCGGGGGAGTCAGGCCCCCCAGCTAGCTCGCCCCGAGCCCCAGGTGTGTGGCGTGTGGCCGCGATTCCCCGCTGAGGTTGAGTAGTTTCCTGCTGCCAGTGCTCAAGTGGCAGAGGCGGCAGAGGCAGCCCAAGTCCCCAGGCCAGACCCGCTGCTGACGCCACCCGGATTCTGGCGAGGAAGGTGACCTTGTGCCAGCCCAGCCCCGGCCCTCCGGAAGTATATATTTCTCAATTGTGGAATCAGGCCAGCCGCTCTTCCTCCCGGCACCCGCGCAGGGCTGGGCTCCCCCCGGGGGCGACTCAGACAGGGGCCCCTTCCCCAGGACCCCAAAACTGCTGGCCTCTGTCTTTTCCACTTCCCCTCGTCGGTTGCTAGCAGGCCAGGAAATGAGAAGAAATAAAAATTTCATCCCAAAGATAATGCGGGGCATATTTCATTTGGTTATAAGATGGCTTTATGGCGAACAGTACTAATGCAGTATTTTTTTTTATGGCTTTTCGGTGTAAAATCGTCATAACCGGATTCATGCCTTTATGATTTCCTTTTTCTGCTTGACTTGGCCCCTTTTTTGTTGGTTTTATGATGCCGAGGCTTCAGTCTCCTGGGCTGGCACCACCCTCAACCCCACCCCCAGCCAAGCCCCCCAGAGAGGGTTAGTCAGTGTTGACAAGAGTTGAGGGTGGCCCGTGCAACTGAGGCAAAGGAAGGTGCCCAGTCCAGGGGGACACATCTGTGTTTCTTGGGAGGAGAATGGCTGGCTGAAGGGATCAGATCGCTGGTGCATGTTCCAGAAGAGCTTTCTGGAGGATTCTGGAGAACTAGACCGGAGGCTGGACTTTGCAAAGGAGTTTTGAGAGACTTCGGAGAAGGCGCAATCTCTTTGGCATACAGGAGATGGGGCTTGATGGAATGTGTTTTCCCGGCTTAAAGTTTAGAAAAGAGCGTGGATGTGATTAAAATATTATAACCTTATGATATTCTGAAGTGCATAAATTTTACATATCAGCCACAGAGAGTTTAGACATCCATTAGAGCCTCTGACAGCTTGACTTATCTAAATGTGCTATCATTTAACAATGTGTCAAAATTCCTCTTTCTATAGATGACAGCAGTAAATAAGCTATCAGCTCTGTTGGCGGAACCCTAACTTTGGAAACTCCGCAGAAAAAGAATGGCTGCTGGGGTGGGGACAGGAACCACTCCGGAGGGGTGCCGGCCCCGGAGAAATGTGGGGTACCGGGGGGGGGCTTGGAAGCCATGAAGCATGCGTGGAGATTTCTAGAGCTTTTTTTAAAAATCCATAAGTAAGACCCAGCAACTGGCCAGCTTCTGCCCCTTGCCTGTCCCCCTGTTCTGGCTGTCGGTGACCCCACTCTCTCTAACTTTTTGAGTCCTCAGAACAAACACCCCGTGGGCCTTTTTCTGCAGAAGCGGCTAGAAACAGGTGTTGCGAATGTATTTAAAGAACCCAGCAGTCTTTTTCTGGGCATCCCAAAATTCTGCTTTCTCAACTCGACAGAAAATTGCTTCCCAAGGATGGACTCTCTCTCTCTCTCTCTCTCTCTCTCTCTCTCTCTTTCTCTCTCTCTCTCTCTCCCTCCCCCCCTTTCTCTCTCTCTCTCTCTCTCTTTAAGAGCGAGAAGAAAAACCGAGCAGCGCCTCCTCCCTGGCCGCCTTTGCTGTTGGTTGTCTTGATGCTTCTTTTATTAATACCTGAATTCACTGTAGAAAATGGAGAAGCCACAGACCGGCCCGAAGAAGCGCGGGAGCGTCTCGGGGGGTTGTTTCAGTGGTGTTTTTGATGCCGGCGGGGAGTTTTCTTTCTCCCCCACCCTTTCCTTTTCTTTTCTTTAAGAAGAAAAGAAAAACTCTCCTGCTAATAAAGCAGATTCTATCTTCGAACTTGACATTCTGTCGTGGTCACCTTTCTTCCGGCAGATGGGATTTCTAAGGGGAGCACCTTGGCGGATGCTAAATTTGGTTCCGGATGCTGGTGGCCGGGACCCAGAGGGGACGGTGTTGGAGTTGGGAGGGCCAGCTGGGCGAGGCTAGCACGGCCTTGAGGGGAGGGGCCGCCTTTGTTTCTGGTGCTGGAATTCAGGGTTCCTACCCTTGGATGTATTTTTCTCATTGTGGTCGGTGTGGGGTGTGCCCACGTTTTGTTTCTCATTTTTGTTCTCTTGGGCTGGAGCGATAGCACAGCGGTAGGGCGTTTGCCTTGCACTCAGCCAACATGGCCGACCCGAGTTCGATTCCTCCGCCCCGCTCGGAGAGCCCGGCAAGCTACTGAGAGTATTCGATATGCCAGACACAGTAACAACAAAGTCTCC